TCCGAGTTCTCTTATCTCTTGCTGCCAATCTAGATTGGCCTCTGCAACAGTTAGATGTGAAGAATGCATTCCTAAATGGTGACTTACATGAAGAAGTCTATATGGATCCTCCACCTGGTTTTGAAAAGGGAAATGGATCAGTGTGTAAACTAAAAAAGTCTCTATATGGATTGAAACAGTCTCCCAGAGAATGGTTCGACAAATTCACACAAGCAGTCAAAAGAAGAGGCTTCATTCAAGCACAGACTGATCATACTCTCTTCCACAAACACTCTAAGGATGGTAAAATTGCTATTCTTATTGTATATGTAGATGATATAATTCTTACAGGTGATGATATTGAGGAATTGAACACCTTGAAGAAATTTCTAGCAGCTCAATTTGAACTCAAAGACCTTGGCACTCTCAAATATTTCCTTGGTATGGAAGTTGCTAGGAGCAAAACAGGTATCACTCTAACACAAAAGAAATATGTTCTAGATCTTTTGTTGGAAACAGGAATGTTAGGGTGTAAACCTGCTGAGACACCTGTGGAACCTAATACCAAGTTAGGTATTGAAGATGGAAATGAGGTGGATAAAGAACAATATCAGCGATTGGTTGGTAAACTAATCTACTTATCTCATACGCGTCCTGACATTGCCTTTGCGGTGAGTATGATTAGTCAATTCATGCACTCACCCAAGGAGAAGCATCTTAGTGCAGTCTATAGGGTGCTTAGATACCTCAAGAATACTCCAGGAAGAGGATTATTTTTTAAAAAGGGGTATAAAAGGACAATTGAAATCTACACTGATGCAGATTGGGCAGGCTCATCAGTAGACAGAAGATCTACCTCAGGCTATTGCACCTATGTGTGGGGAAATCTTGTTACTTGGAGAAGCAAAAAGCAAACAGTGGTTGCAAGAAGTAGTGCTGAAGCAGAATTTCGAGCTTTAGCTCATGGAGTTTGTGAAGGAATCTGGTTGAGAAGACTTCTTCAAGAGTTGAAGATTTCATATTCCCTACCAATAAAACTATATTGTGACAACAAGGCAGCTGTTAGCATTGCTCAAAATCCTGTGCATCATAATCGAACAAAGCACGTGGAAGTTGATCGTCACTTCATCAAAGAAAAATTAGATGATGGAAGTGTGCATTTGATATATGTTCCAACCAAAGAGCAAACGGCAGATGTCCTTACCAAGGGCCTACACCGTCCAGCATTCGAAGACTTGATTGGCAAGTTGGGAATGATCAATATTTACCTCCCAACTTGAGGGGGAGTGTAGAAAATTAGAATTCAAACATGTTTCCGTTTTTATTTCCTATTAATTAGGATTGATTATGATTGATTAGGATTGATTATGATTGATTAGGATTAATTGTGATTGATTAGAATTGATTGTGATTAGGATTGTGATAGGATTGATTAGTCATCGCTTAGTCATTCTTAGCGATTCTTTCTTGTATAAATACTCACTCATGTAATTTATTCAATATCAATATACAAAAACTTCTTTTCAATATAAGCAAACAAGGAGGAAAAAAAAAAAACTTAAAAGAGCAAAATAACAACTCCAATAATAAAACAGATCAAAGCTGTTCATAATCAACATTTCTTTCAAAATTAAGTTATCCTTGTAACGAGAGGTTTTCAAAATCCTTAACTCTGCTTTTTGTCCAGAAATTCAAATTGGCAATATAAGCTCACACTGATCATTCAAACGCCTTAAAACTGAAGTTGATTGATTTTGACAAAAATAGCAACAGGACCTCTATATATACAAAAGTAGTCCCCATTAAACATAACAACAGAGCAACAAAATAATGATGATATAATAAGGTGACAAGGTATACCTTAATCCCGCTGTATCCTAGACGCTCCCCAAGACCACCAGCAACAAGAACAAATGCAGCTTTCCGAGCTTCACGTACACCTGCCTCCTCAAATTTGATGAAGTTATCATCACCAAACGTCAGAGTCTCACCCGTTGGAACCTGAAAAATCATTTCTAGACAGTCTTATATATTATTCCAAGACCATTCCTACAAATTTAATTTAATTTCACTAGCATGTCCTTAATATGTGCAATGTTGAAAATATAAAAGAGGAACAAGCATATAAAGATCAAATCACGAGAGAATATAACATTTATTATGACTTACAGAAGGTGTGAAGCCATCAAAAGGATTCTTTCCGGCTTTAGAATCAGCCAAGAGTCGTTTAGCGTTTTTGATGTATGCTTCCAAACCACCAGGGTAGCTCGAATCGAGTAGAATCAGCTAATGAAAACGCAGTGTCGTTTAGAGAGAGAGAGAAGTAGCAGATCTATGTAACTGAAATCGAATCACGAAACAGGATAACCCGAACCTGGTCGAAGAATGCTTTTTTCTGGTCATCGTCGACGCCGGGACCTGGCCAATCTCGAAACAGGTGGCCTTGGCCATTATCCAACAACATCTTAACCACCTCTTGCTGAGTCGCCGAATCGGAATCAGAATCAGAAGCATAAGCATTCGTTGAAATATGAAAAATTCTTACGAAAAAGAGAGAGGAAACGAACCTGTTGAGGCGGGAGAAGGTTGTAATTATCGCCGAGCGAAGAAGCCATGGAATTCGAATCGCAGAGAAAGAGAGTGAAAGTAGAGGTGGTGGAGATGAAGGAACGCAACAAAAACAGATAATTAATACACTGCTTATTATTATTATTATTAATTTGAGTATTAATTTATGATTAACTGTGGAACCGGGGGTGCCGGTAATCTTTTACATCTGATTCTGATCTAATGTCCTTTCAATTTCAGTTCACCTTCGGGAGGCACGGGTCAACGTTTAGTTAGTTAATTGGGCCCCACACTTCATGCTGTGCTACTAAAAGATTGTGAAACTGAAAAGGTAGAAAAATGGTACTTATTACCTGTATTTTGGAACATAATACAGTGCAGGTTGTGTTATTATTTGGGGAGGGACATGTTTATAAATTTTTTTTACAAATTACACTATATTTTTCTAGGAGAACATAGTGAACTAGTGTTCTCCTGGAAAAACATAGTGTAGTTTGTAAGAGTTTGTAAACAAAAAAGTTTGTAAATATAACCTTACCCATTATTTTTTATGAAAATAATTATAAAATTCAGTTATATGTTTCACTTAAAAGTCTATAGAACATGTTTATCACTGTATATACGCAATCCGCTCTTCTGGTGAAAATTTTACATAAAAGTGTAAAGTAGCCTTTATTTTCATTTTTTTTTTCCTCTTACGATTTCGGTATAATTTATTTTCACGGTTTTAGTCTTAAATGAATTATTATAAAAGTTGAATGTAAATAATAAATGATATTAATCAGAGACAGAGAAAAAACTTAATGGAATATAAACATAATATCCCTATGTACCAACAAAAAAACAAAATAATATCCCCAATATGAGTCAACAATATATAAGAAGATGATTAAATCATAAAAGCAAGAATATTGAGTTTAAAATTATTTAATATGAAATTAATTTTATTTTATTTTTTGGAAATGAAATTAATTGTATTGGATTTGATTTTCAAACTGATTCATTTAAATATTAATTCTCATATTTAATATTTATACAAAATAAAATTCAACAAGTTAGTTCTTATATTCATAACCCGTTAATTAAGATAACTTGAACATTTTATTATAATTATTTTATATAATTAAAAATAATTAAATTAAATTTACTCAAATTTTTATTAAATTTAAATGAACTTTCGATCATCTTAGTTGAAAATGATTAATTTATATTATTTCCTATATTTGTCAATGATTAAATATTAATTGAATCTTTTATTTTAATAATTTCACATTATTCACTTCATTTATAATAAGTAAAAAATAGTAAATTAATAAGAAAAAAATTTATAAGTTTAAATAATTAAACATAAAAATAAGTTAAATTCGCTCAAACTTTTAGTAAATTAAAGGGGATTTTTATATGCATACAATTAAAACTAAAATAGTTCAAATCAAATTAGTTATTTTATTTTTTTTGGAAATTATCTAATTAGTTATTGTTTCATGACTTTCCAAAGAATAAATTTTTGAGATCATGACGAAAAATAGCAAAAGCAATTGCCAATTGATCAGGTAACAGCATAGCTGCGTAGGGATCGATTTATACTATGTAAATTTATTAAGCGGTTGCAACTTGAAGTTAGATATCTAATGAAACCGTTGTTGACATTAATATATGAGTAAGAATTATTTTATTTCGTGTAAGTTACACTTTTAATCTTGATCCTTAATTTTATTTATATTTAACGATCCTAATTTATCAAATATTTGAACTGTCAGATGCAAGCATATCAATGATCAAGATTTAATGTAAGATTTCTTATTTTTAAATCGGTATAATAATATCTTGTCCGTATATAAATATATTCATACGCACATAATTTCCTGTGTTTTGATCATTAATGTGCATTTCATTGCAAATTATCCTTACATTGATTGCTTATTAAGGGTTTTCAACTTGACTGTCTGACTAGGAATGAAATCATAGTTAACCAACTTACACTAACTGCTTATTGTTCCTGACTTCTTGTATGCTACACGCTACAGCTTTTAATAAAACATTTATTTCAACAAATGATCCACTTTGTGGATATTATTAAATAAATATTCATTGAACATTATGCAGCAAGATTACTGGAGTTTCGCTATACATAAGATGGAGAAGCAAACTAAGTCCTGAAAACTAGGGACCAGCAACTAAGTTTATCCACAGTTAAATTTATCCCTCAAAAAAGACCTTTGAGAATATTTATTAGAACACTTTCAAAAGGGAAGACACATAAAAACTTTCAGAATATTTCTATATCCCAGTGGCCATATAGAGTCAGTCAAGACACACATAATCTGTTATCAAAGGGGAAATTTATCAAGAGATTTCCATTTTCCTTTGTTGTTCCTGTAATTCACTTTTTGCCCAGCCTTTTGCTGCACCATTGAGAATTAAAAGAATGATAATTGAAGGGCTCGGGTTGGTAACAGATCAAGCTATATATAATTATATATAGAGACTGTAAGAGAATACTTTATGCTGTAATGATATTTTGCATTGGTTTTACTCAACCCCAAAAATCATCTAATGTTGGACTTGGACAAGAGATTTTTATAATTTACAAAGAACTAGTCATTGTACTAATCATATGCAAACACCCATGATTTGCTCACTTTTCTTGGAGTATTTCATGAATCATTTCTCAAGTGCATCTTCAGGTTGGACATCACTGTTGATCATGATCCGTGGCTTGCCCATGCTGAAATTCAGCACCTGGGCATTCATGTTATACTTGATTTTGCCATCATATAACATCTTTCTTATGTAGTGCTCTAAGTCCGAACCAATCAGGCGAAGTGTGTATTCTGTCAATGGAGCACCCTGCTTTGTATCACCAAAGGTTAGTATTTCACCATACAGAACAAGCTCTGAGCAGAAGTAATCAAAATGGAATCACTCCATATGAATTTTTAGAAACTGTCAAACATAACTTATAATCAATCCTCACATCATTTTTTTCTTTTTACATCTCTTTTCAGGTTTCTACCATATTTAGACTTAAACTATTGGATGTGTGAGTGATAAATAAAATAACGTTATATTAAGTGATGTGTCTTCAATGATTCTATATTATATCTTTGGGCTCAAAGTGTGAATTGTACGGGATTATATTTTTTATTGTATTTTATACTGACTTAATTCCATTAGAAAGTGAAGGCAGCAGCGAGGATCAATTTGTGACCCTGTAGTCACCTTGGCCATGATAAGAACCATTTCATCAGCTCAAGGTGTTAAACAATTGGTCTTAAATAATTTTATATTATATCTCTCTAACGATGTTTTTAGTATTCTTTACACTATTCTAAGACATAGAATGATTATACATGGATTGTGTTTAAGGAAACTACCTCGTAGTGATCCACAAGCTCCTGGAAGTAAGAATAAACCATGTTGCAGGTCTCAGGATTCCACACAAACTCATCAGTGGGGTCAAGAATAAGGGTGAGCTTATCCATCTGGGTTTGATCAAACGCAAAAGTTTCAGGGTCGATATAGGCTGCAAAGATCCTGACATGGCGGGTTGTGCAGCTAAGCCACTGTCCTCCGTATTCCCTGCTCATGTTTTTGCTTTTGACATTCAGCTGAGGTTCCACTGGCCTTGGTTTTGTTCCTTTTGGCTTCATATTCTGACTTTCTACTTGTCCTTGCTCCTCTTGTACTTTCACGCTCTCTGCTTCTTGAACATCAGTTTCTTGTTGAGCTGAAATGAAAAATGCTCTCCTGTTTTTCACTTCTCTTCTTCTTCCAGTCCAACCTATCATGGATAATTTGGTTGAAACCATGTAGGAACAACTTGTGGCCATGACTAAATGCTGTGTTCTAGCTAGGGAATGTAAGTGGTGGTTGCCTTTAATACCATGGACTTAAAAGCGGGTACTATTAGTCTGCCAATAGCTTGTGTCCTTCTTTTAGGGATAAGATTTCTTCTATAACTCCGAGGCAACTGTATGTGGTCAGAGAAAAAACGAAAAGTTTTTTTTTCCATGGATACCGCTTTTCCAATTTTACCCATTCACATTTTTGGTTGTATATAAATTCTAAAACAATTCTTGCCTATGGTGAGTTCACTATATTCAATAGTTCAAAATATGCCAAATTTGTGGGGGTGCTTATACTAAGTTCAAAACGCACCAATTTTACCAAATCTATTTTAAAAAATAATAATAATAACAAGGGGTTTGCATTTGTCATTTAACATAACACAACAAACCTATGTAGCACCGATATGACACGCGACACGTAATGCGATACGACACGACACTCCGACGCGTCAATCTTAAAAAATTATGGATTTCGACACGTTGAGACACGTTTTAATATTAAATAATATTTTTAATTTATATATTGTATATTTTATTTAATATTTAATAATTTAACAAAAAAATGAAACTAAATTAATAATACTCAACAACACGTTATAAAGATGGAAGCTTTAATAAAAAAAATAAGAACTGGATGAGACAGAGATATAATATCAGATAGAGAGATCAAATCATATTAGTGAGAGAGATCAGAGACAAGGAGATACAACAAGAGTGTGATAGGAATTGACAACAATGATGCTGAGATGATCTCTTATCTACTTAAAGAGAAAAAAGATAAAAAAATAAAATTGATATGATCAGTTGAAAGCTTTATTAATATATTTTAATTTTTTAAAAAAAATAAAAATTTAAATATGAAAATAAAAATTAAAAAAAATTACGAAAATGGCGTGTCGGAACGGTCAACGTCGGAAAAAGTTGACCGCGTGTCCGACACCGTGTCGGAGCGTGTCGGACACGACTCTCCCTATTTTTACAAGTGTTCGTGCTTCCTTGCAACAAACTTTCCTACACACACAACATTTTGTGGGGTCCACACTTTTTGAAGAAAAAAGAAAAAAAAAAAAGAAATTACGGCACGGAAAACGAATCTCTATAATATTACACAATCAATTTTTCTACAACGTAACTCTTATAAAACCCTAATAATAATAAGGTGAGGTGCAGGACAGGCTTGAGACCAAGTTATTAGTTGTATTTAACACATCCTCACTTTGCTGCAAGACACAGCTGATTGAAGTTTGAACCATGAACTCGGATGCATGCTGTGCTTCAAAAATTGAGACAACACATTAGGGACTTGCCCTTGACATCCTAGTTACTACCCTGGAGTCCCATTTAATGTACCCAAAAAAATTACACTTCAAAAGTTAATATGAAATTTACACTTAAATTGCATTCACACTTGTCATTGTTGCATTCTATGATTTCAATTACTTCTTTATATTTAGTCGCATTGTCAACCTGTATTTCTTTTAAATTTGCACCAGCTAAATATTTTCATGACTCACCAATAAGGTGTTGGCCGAGTAATAACAGCTCAAGGTCCCCTTAAGGTGAAAAATGCAAATTCGAGATCCAGAAAATACATCTGTTGGGAGGGAGAATCCTTAACTGCTCTTAACCTCCGACCGGATTAGTCCTCAAGGATGAACCCATTAATAGAAATACTAAAAAAAAATATTTCCATGACTCTACAATCCTTTTACTTCCTAACTTACTGGCGCAAATTGCACCTAAAATAACCCAAACACTTTCATTAAGTCTTACAAAATATATTGACTCTCACTTGGCACGCCCTGATATACAAGATATTGCAATGAGCCATAAAACTTTATTTTCATTATAAGAACCAGTTTAATAAGTTCATCAACAGTATCCAACTGCAAATTCAAGGGGTCACTGTCACACAATGTTTATGATTGATCAACAATTTCTGCGACTTCATCATCACCTTCAAAGCTGATGAAGTCAGCAGTTTCACATTAATTGTTTTTATTCTGTTGTCATTGTCTATGAGCCACCACCGTCCCAGGTTCACAAACAAAAATGGGAATAGAACCAAAGTAATGCCCTCTACTGTTATTCTGATATCTAGATCTCTTCCTTTTCTTTCCCTTGTCTTGTTCTTTTGGGTGATTTTAGTTCCTTGTGCACAGCTTCAAAAGTTGGACAGACACAGCTGTGCTGCTTCTGACACTGAGACCACATAAATAAGCAGAGTAATCATATCTGCCAATGTTGAAGGTAATCATTTCACTACTCAAGTTTGTAAAGGTTAATGACATGTCTTCTTCGAGACTGTTCAATCCGAGATGACATGATTCTCCTATGTCTTGAGTTGTACAGTGGTTGTGAGCGGACAAGAGGTGATATGCACATATAAGGACGACTAACTATGCTCAACTAGTCAATAAAAGATTAAGGTGAAGTATGCACATGGTAGGAGAATGTGTACCTGAACCTGGGAAAAAGCCAAGAGACCCGCCCCAGTGTGTCTGTCTTGATGCATGTAATACCACCTGTACTTTGTGAAAATTCATATGCAAGACACGGTTTTTCTCAAATATTTTTGTATGAATTCAACCTATCTACATATCATATCCAGACTAAACTGAAATTGCAAGAAAGTCAGTCAGTGATAAACAAAAAGCAGGAATTCTTACAAAGATTGTTTCCGCATCAAATTTCCACCATATAATCTCATTATTGGCCTACTTTTCATCATTATGTGAAGTACTTGTAAAGGAACAAACATTCAAGTCAAAGCACAGGGAAATGAAAGAAACCAAGCGGACAAATTGCTATTGCCTTATTAGGATGCAGAGCATTGATCCTTATGCTCTAAAATACAACTTGTTCTTTTACCATTACAAATTACAAAATTTGATAAAATTAAGGTAAAGAAAAAAATCGACACCATTTTCAGCAGAATAAAAAAGAGAACTCGCCCAACAAATTCTACGGTGTACTTTCCTCATTATTAAGGAAAGGAGGAGGGCACACACAACCTCTCATCCTAAACCCATTTAAAACCCGTATAAGATGCCAATGACAATGGAAAAAGGCACAAGAAAACTTTATCTACAAATGATTAAGATAAAAGGTGAGAGCTTCTTGTAGCAATTTGCTAGTAGCTTGCTCAGTCAAAGCTTGATGAGCGGCTCCACCTGCCTCTCAAGTAGTCCTCCAAGGAGACACTATGCTCAACACTGCACATTGAGAGTGAGTCATCCTCCACATCAAGCAGTGCAAGATTAAGATGTGACTGTAGATTACTAGGAGACAACACTTCATCATCAAGCATTTCTGGCGCTTCCAAAGCATTAACTTCTAGCCTTGCCCACTTTATTGCATCAGCATCACCTTGAAGGAGCTTTGAAATCTGTGGTCCAATAGAATATGAGATTTTCAACAGGCAAAGCGCTAATGGAGAGAATAAGAATAATTCAACGGTGATTAAACAAGAAGATGAAGTCAAGAAGTATGCTATAGAATTCAGGTACCACATGATTATCGATAAGCAAAACACTAGGTCGGGTCAATATGCTAAAAAGGACATGGAGAGCTCAATTTGCAATAAAGCCAATTGTGGACCACTTACAAGGCTCATTTGAGGCCTAGCTCTTGGAGCACGTCTGATACAGAGAGTGGCTGCTAAGACTATCCTTTCCATCTCCTCATGATCATAGTTATCACCCAAAATAGGATCCAACAATTGTAACACCTTTCCACTATTTAGAATTGGACTTGCCTGCAAAAAAAAAAAAAATTGAATTATTTTTTCCACAATACATATGATTCGGAAATAAGAAGTAATTGAGGAGACGTAGAGCATAGCATTTCAGACACATACCCACATAACGAGACTCTCTTGACCTTTTGGATAATCACCATTTATGGGCTTTCTCCCTGAAAGAAGCTCAAGGAGCACGACACCAAATGCATAGACATCGATCTTATCATTTACTTTGCCATAGATAAAGTATTCAGGAGCCAAGTAACTGCATAAATGAGTGTAATACATAATTTAGGACCTTTCAAACACACTATCTCTCTGCATCTTGTATGGATAAGAAAGGATGTTATAGTTATGCAGGGTTTGAAAATACAAACCCAAAGGTTCCAGCAACATCTGTGCAGGTTATATGTGAGGACGAGGTTGATGCCCATTTAGCCAGTCCAAAATCAGAGAGCTTAATAAAATCAAGCAGAACAACATGAGGATCATAAACACAAATAATTCAAAGTACTAAAACTCAATCAACTGAAAGATAAATACCTGGGGTTCAAAATCCTCGGATAATAATATATTTGATGATTTTACATCCCGGTGGATCACAGGTTGATCATCTTTACAATGCAGATACTCCAAAGCCTCAGCAACACCCGTTGCTACCTTATATCTCTCAGTCCAACCAAACACAAGTGGATTTTTCTTATTCCCTATTTTGGTATGCAATAGAAAAAAGTAAATAGAAAGTTCATCAGACCACGTAGAAACACGAAAGGGGATATAGTAATGTATATTTGTGTACCATGAAGGTTCTCTTCAAGGCTTCCTCCTGATAAGAAATCATAGACCAGAAGAAGTTTTCCATTCTCAAAGCAGAACCCGAGGAGGGAAATAATGTTTTTGTGATGCAAGGTAGTGATAATTTCTATTTCCAAAAGAAACTCCTTCAAAACATCATAAGAAGGCTTTAGGATCTTGACAGCAAGTTCCTTGCCATCAGGAAGACAGCCTCTATAAACCTGACTACTTCCTCCTTTCCCAATCAAGTTTTCTGAAAGCATATAGGTAACCATGTTAAAAATAAACCAGTTTTGTTAAATTGAACTCAGTCAAACGAATACTAGGAAACAAACCCGGCATGAAATTTGATGTCGCTGATACAAGTTCTTGGTACTCAAACAATCTGCAAGTTGATGAGTATCTCTCATGAATGCCCTCCAATTCTTTAGGAATACTTCTGGAATTGCATTCAGGCGAAAAAGCTATCCCTATTTCAGCATCTACTACGACAAGAGCACCACTTTCACCATCTAGAGTCACAGGTTGATCTTGACCTTGATCACAAATGTTAGGTTTTTTATCATGATCTGCAGCATGTGAAAGATTTCTACAAGGCAACCTCATTGCCCACTGAACCACAGATATATGGTGCATCCATGATCTATCATGAGATAGTCTGTCTGATAAAATTCTCCGGTGCAGTAGTGGCCAACCCGGTTTCAATTCAGGTTGTCCTGCATCAGGGGTCTGAACAGGCACTATAGCCAAAGAATTCTCACTAACAACATCATCAGAAGACCCTTCTGCAGATTGGTGGCAAGAAGTGTTGGGTAATGCCTGGGTTGGGCCACAAATTAAGCAGCTCTCTTTTCTAACAATTTCTGTAGAATCCAGAAAAACCTTAGCTAAACTGTGATCTGAAATTTTTTGGCGGGTTCCCTCATCAGCATCCGTCCAATGAATTGTACTCTTACTGAGTGTCCAATGAATTGAACCAAACAAACCATTTCTGTGACGACGATCAGTCCCTGCAAAAACCCAATGGCTGAGAATTGTTTGAAGTTCATGAGATTCACGTCAATCAAAACTAAGAAAAATCAGAAACCTTGTAGTTCAGCAACATTTGGTGGCCAGGCGTCACGCTTGAACACAACTTTCCCATTGTTAACAGCAAGAACACAGCATTTCTTAAATAACTTTTTAGCACAATACTTAGCTACAGAGATTTTATGGAAGCCTTGAGCAGTTCCGACCACAACATGAGTCGCAGAATAAGCATTTGCTTCTCGAACCAACGTTTTCTTCACTGATGAACCACGGCAAATTTTGAGCTTGAGATCCACCTGAACCAATTCCCCACCCCCCACAAAAAAAAAAAAAAAATCTTAAATTTGAAATGTTCTCTTTAGAATACAGCAAATTGAAGATTGAGAAAGATGGTGAGAAATTAAACCTGTTTCAAATTGCAGAATCCTTCATAAACAGCAACAACAGAGTCAAATGCCTTGACAAGAGAAAGCAGAGACGTTTTCCCATCATTGTTCACCATTTCTACGCAACCCCATTTAACCAATCAATACTCACTCTATCCCTCGAAAACCAAAGAGAGAGAGAAAAAAAAAAAAAAAAAAAAATTCTAGCCTACCGTGGTTCCCATGAACATGTAGAGCAACGACAATATCACCAGGCTGAGCAACTTTGACCATAGCCCACGTGAGTAACTCTTTGCTGGGGGAATCCAGCTTCACCCCCACCACCACCGTCCGGGAACCGGAGCCCCCGTGGAGGGCTTCTCCGGCCAGACCCGTTATCAGCATTTTTCACGTTAATATGTCAGGGGATCACAATCAGAGTGCGATGTCGTTTTGTTCGAGTGGGAGACACTGAGTGAGTGTGTCTGATATAGCATAAGCAGCCACGCCTTTCGGGTTTGGTTTGGCTTTAACCGCCGTTTGGCATTAGCAAGAGAAGAGAAGGGCCATAGTTCAAAACTTCAACCATAACTTTTCAGTTAAGACAATCATCACCATGTGACTTTTTGATTAAGATACTAACAATGTTTATTGCTCCTTTTAATTTGACCACTTTGAAACACATTGGACTTTATGTTCTCTCTTGGATTTAGAAAAACTTGTTGCTTTTTATCTTTAATTTCAGCTATGGTATTAGAAATCGGGATAGGATACTCTGACAACTAAATAATGTTACTACCAATGTTAGTACCACATCTTAACCGTTGATTTCTGTCAATCAACGGTTATCCTTTATTGCGAATTAATAATTAATTAATAAATTTAATTTGAAAAATAATAATAACATTATTTGATTGTCACAATATCCTATCCTTTAAAAATTTAGCTAAAGTGGATTAGAATCTCCCTTCTATTATAAATTGCACCGGTTTTATAAGTGTTTGAATTAATATTGTTATGTCATTCTCATTTCAATAACATCATGCTTTAATTTGCTTCATTTCCAATCATTGTGTTAACCTTCATCTACGTATGCTTTGAATAAATAGGCACGATTTGCCTTTTATTTAAAAAAAAAATAAAAAATTGCGTGGTTCTGAACTTCTGAAGGCGGCATTACTAGAGGGTGGTTTAATAGTCTTCTTTAGCCTTACGCTATTTTGCATGTATTGTCATTTCTAATATTCATGTCTCTCTTTTTTCAGTAAAAATATATTTAAAAAGGGAATCAAGTCCCATCAACAAATTCGGTAACAAAAAAAAATGTGTTAAATAATTTTTTTTTTATATTAGAATCATAAGATATTTTGATACTTATTCAAATAATTAAAAGCATTTAATAAATAATATTAGGTACTCCTCAAAAAATACAGTTATGAAACTCTTTAACAATTATAATTGAACGTATCATGTAAAGAAAAAATGTTGTTATATTTTCATAATAGTCATTATAATACATAATAAAAAAAGTATTAAATAAAAAATACATTCATTGAATACCTTGTAAACATAGTTATCAATATCGTACGATACACGGTACAATTCATACGATATAATTCACAAGTTCAATGATACGTATCGTGAGATGTATCAAAAAGAAATTTGTAACGAACGATACGATACGATACTATATTGTGCGATACGACACGATACGTGTATCATACGATACAAAAATTAAATCAAAATTCTTAATTCTTAATATAAAAAAGAAAAAAAATTGATTTGTGATTTAAATTAAAAAATTATTATTAAAAAGGAAAAGAAAATAAAGATTTGATTTATGATTTAAACTCAAAATCTAGGAGACCAAAGCAAAAAGAGAAAGAGAGGTATATTTGCTCGTATAATGTTTCTTTTAGTCAAACGCCTTATCTAATTTATTTACATATGTCATTATATACATATATATATATATATATATATATATATATATATATATTGTTATGTATATTTTTACTTTTTAAGTTCTCAAAATCTTAAAGCGGATAGGAATAATAAAAGTAAATGCATCATCATACAAGAACAAGATAATATTAACAGGTTTGATAAACAAAATATATTGTCAACAAGAATGATAAGTGAAAACGATCTCAGATTGTTGAACAAGAAATGAGAGATGAGTCAAATGACTACCCAAAATGAAGAGGATGATGGATTAGTTATGTCGCTGATAGATGCTGATAGTGATAGTAATAATAATATTAGTTGTAATGATTAACGAGTAGGAGAACAATTGCTTTGCATTTTAATTACTTATGTATTTTGCTTATTGAATCTTTTTTGAAACTTGGATTTATATGATATTAATTATATTAAATATTTTTAAATTATTTTTATTATATTTCTATATCTTACGATTTGTGATATACGGTATAAAAAATCAGTCGAACACGTGTTGTGATTCAACAAAATTCATGAAAGGCATTAATACAATTTTCATTTAGTATTGGAAACATTATTAAGACAATTGATTAGGATGATTTTTAATAATTAAAAAGTAATATAAAAAGATTAATAATTGATATTTAGAATATTCACGAATTGGATTGAATAAATTTTGAAGTTAAAACTGTAAAAGTCAATCAATCCAATCTAATCGATATTTTAGTAATGAAACTTGATTGGGGTTTAGTTCGAAAATAAATATGGTGCAATTTAATCCAAACTAAATTGGTTCATATGACATAGCTTTTAAAATTTTAAAATCATCAAAATATAAAGCTCCGTAATATTAAACGAAAAATGCGTTAATTCCTTTTTATATTTCTAATATAATAAATACATTTTTTTATTAAATACTTTTTATTTAATACAAGAAATATATAAAATGTTTTAAAATAATATAACAAAACTAATAAAGAAAATAGTGACATAAGTCAGTTCCAGCCTTCCGCACATTTGCCGCATGAACGCATGGCAAATTTGGCATTTTGTTTTTTGGTATCCTGCCAAATTTGGCACTTTTTTTTTTGGTATCCGGCAAATTTGGCACTTTATAAAAAATGAAATTTTTGAAAAGTATTTATTATATGAGATAGATTATTCTGCCTACTCTTATTTTATCCACCTCTCTTAACTCCATTAGATTATAATCTCATCGAATGATAGAGATTTGCGGAATAAAATAAATCATTTTTTCCTTTCTTTCTCCTTACTACCTCCCACACTCTTTCTCTCTCCTCCCCTTTCTTTTTATCGATTTGTGTAATTTACAATCTGAATTTATATTTGAATCTAAATCTCCATTATTAGATGAGATTGTAAACTAACGGGGTTAAGAGATGTAGGCAAAATAAGAGTAGGCAGAATAACATAACTCTTATTTTATATTAAAAAAAAAATCTATATAAGACAACCCCCTTGCGTGAAATTTTAGTGCACGAGATGCGCAAGAGACTCGATGGGGCAAACCAATTAGAAGCCGGCATTTTCTGTGCCAACTGTACAGAGGAGAGAGATTTTTTTTTTAATTCAGGTGTTATGCTTTTAATGGAAGGCACATAATGCTCGCGATGCACATTAAATATTTCGAAGGAAGGAAAGAAAGGAGAGAAAGGAAAAGAGAGAGAATGAAAAAGGAAGAAAATGTAATATTGAGAGAAAATCTCATTCTTGTAATTTTATTCTTTTCATTTATTTTATATGTAAAGTTGGTATTATTTTCATCTATGATGCACCGACACTTTAGAATACCTAATGTGTCGTATCCGACACTTTCCGACATTCTTTGACACCCCGACACTTTTTGACACTCCAACACACATTGCAGAGACTCAAAAAAGTGTTCGAATGTTGCGTTGCGTTTTTAGTTCTAACTATTAGATTCGTTAGATTACGATTATCATTCTATTGAGTTTAATATATATATATATATATATATATATATATATATATATATATATATATGAGATATCTTAGTTTATTTGCAAAATTGATGGAAGTTATAAGTTTAGCTTCATTTTTTTGTTAAATTATTGAATGTTAAATATAATATACACTACATAAATTAAAAATATTATGTGATATCAAAACATGTCTTAACGTGTCGAAATCTAGCATTTTTTAGAATTAACGTGTCAGAATACCGTGTCATTTCATATCTCGTATCCTATGTCCTGTGTCGGTGTCGGTGTCAGTGTAACATAGGTCCAAATATTCTCTTATGTTCCATTCTGGTTTATCTATTATCTTTGACTTTGTAAATTTGATTAATTTATTTAAATTAATTATAACAATGATCTTGAATCAAGACTTTAGCATTTAAGAATTCCTTTGGTACCAGATGAATATTAATGAAATATGTAATCTTTACTAAATAATTATGATGTGACTGACCCACAAACAAGGGGATCAAATGGTTATAGGGTAAGGGATACCTTATCATGGTTTGAGCTTCGCCATACAGAACCTTTAACATACAGAACTCACAGAATTTGAGCATTAGTCATTTCAGTTAAAGACTATACGAACTTTATATGTTTGTATGCAAAAACCCACAAAGGTTTGGATATGTTTGTATGTAGAACTCACAAAGATTTAGGTATGTCTGATTGAAGAACTCACAAAGGTCGGAGCTTATATTTATTAATCATGATATTATTTTTTATTATAAATATATTTTGAGAGAATGAAATTTTTCACTAAAGTGGTTGAATTGGTTATAATTCAAAAACTCCAATATTACTGAATTTATTTCATGTGTGTTTATTTTTATGCTAACCTTTCCAGAAAGTAAGCATGCCAGTATGTGTAGCATTAGAGTAGGATAAAATAAATATAATTTATTAAATTAGGCAGTGTGTTGGAGTAAGAAATGAAGTAAACTTTGAATTTGAATTCACATCATGCTCATATATATAGGGGAAGGATCCGTTTACAAAAAAAATTTACAAATTTTTGCAAATTATATTATATACTCCTGAAAGTATATAGTGTAACCTAGTGTATTTTCAGGAGTACTAATAGAAATAAGATACTAGTGTTGATATGTTGTTTGAGGAGAGAGAGAAAAAAATAAGTATGATACTCTATTTTTTTATTCCCATAAAAATTTATCTATAATATAGGTGTTAAATTTTGAATGAGAATAATATCTATTACTGGATGTGACGGGCTATGTAGCACCGATACGACACGCGACACGTGACACGACACGACACTCCGACACGTCAATCCTAAAAAATTATGGATTTCGACATGTTGAGACACGTTTTAATATTAAATAATTTTTTAATTTATATAGTGTATATTACATTTAATATTTAATAATTTAACAAAAAAATGAAACTAAATTAATAATACCCATCAACACGTTATAAAGATGGAAGCTTTAATAAAAAAAATAA